GACAATGACGGCGTCTTGATCTTGAACTTCCTGTTGGTTGAGCTGCCCAGTGTGTGGTCTATTATGGCAGCTGAGCTGATTGAGACAGTGATCTAAAGCAATATGGTGACAGGGATGTAGCAAAAGCACATTTCTGCAAGTAACTGGGCTGTATCTCAGGAAATGTGTTCTATCGACCCTACAAATCTAAGATGCCTACAGAGTGTGCCAAGTAAGCAGTGACACTGAAATCTCTGAGAAAGGCTGCATCAACAAGATAAAGAACCTGATCCTTGGTGACCTGTGAAGACGCCTACCCACTGTGGACAATCACATTGAAAGAATATGGCCACTTGTCAGCAGGAGACTTAGTGGCCAAGCCAGAAGTCCAGCCCTTAAAGCTGTACTCAGGCCCATGAAGCGCCCACCCTTAAGGCCCCACCCTCCCTCATTGGCCATGTGCCTACTCCTGCCCTATCACCTCTCACCTGTCAATTTCCAACTGACTCTAACCAGCCCTCACCACCCTCAAAAGTACATCAAGACAGCTACGGAGGTAACCGCATTACCACGCCCATCAGTGGGGTAGCACTCAGCCACAGGGCACCCCAGCCATCAGTGCAACAGACCAAGCCTTCAGCAGAAGTGGCGAGTCATTGTTAGCCTCTGTGTAAGGCACTCTGAAAACACCATCAGAAACTTGCATTAAAAGAACACTTCGTAGTTTACCTTTCAGAGTTGGAATAGGGCTGTCGTGTCCATCCACTTGTCCCAAAGAGTCACTTGGATCAGGAACCTCTGCTTGCCCTGGACAAGAGAACACAGCACACACGTTAATGAGATTTCACTTCAGGGGCCTTTACTTTGTTTCTTATGCAAACACAATAGTGTTCTAGCAAAACTACCCTCTGTTGACAGAACACCTAGAGGAAGAGGGTATTATGGTAACTTCTAGAGGGCTTTTGTAGCATCAGATTTGACATAATAGTAAATGTGGGTCTTATGTTTATCGCGAGCAAGGCAAAATACAAACGGTTTGTGGCAGGGACAGATGAAGCAAACATGTAACTAAAGCCCTGAGTGTCATTCAGGGAGGGTGAGAAATTAAGACACTGGATGGCAAAGTAAAGCACTTCATTAGCCAGAGTCAGCAGGTTTCCCTCCAGATACAGGCCCCTGGGAATTCTGAATACATTCAGAATTGGAGAATTTCTTAAGCAAATCACTACCTTCTTGGCCCCCAGACCCACTTGCAGCCAGAGGCCACAAATGTAAGGACTTATGTCCTCATCTTTACAGCAATAGCGACTCCACCCTTCAGAGACTTTGTGTCAGTGGGAGCACCCACCACCAAACTCATAAACACGAAGGGCAAAAACATATCTGGTCTGCTCAGCTGGGAATACAGCATGAAGACATAGGCCTCCGCTCCCAAATCTAAGGCAAGGATGGGCAGGTATAAATGACACCCTAGAAAACCATCTGAGCCTCACATAGACTCTTCTCTGTATTCCAACTCAGGCTCTTTCTCTTTTGATTTTACTTTCAAACTTTCACGTGGGATCATGGCCCTGACTGGGTCCCCCCATGGGTGTATGTGTGTATGGGGGGGAGGGATAGTAAACCTGAAGGTGACTCTGACAACACATCTCCTGGATAGATCTGAGTTTATGGCATCAAAGCCTATTGAAGAGTCAGACACACACACACACACACACACACACACACACACACACACACACACACACAATGAGTCATTGTACAGCTTAAAAAGTAAGGAAACCCTGACACATGCTACAACATGGATAAACCTTGAAGACATTATGCTCAGTGGGATGAGCCAGTCACAGAAAGAAAAATATTGTATGATTTCACTTACATAAGAAACAGCGTAGTTAAAATCATAGACAGAAAGTAGAATGGTGGTGCTAGGGGAGGGGGAATGGTGAGTTAGTGTTTAATGGGGACAGTTCCAGTTTTGCAAGATGAAAAAGTTCTATAGATGGATGATGGTGATGTTTGCACAACAGTGTGAATGTACTTAATGCCTCTCAACTGTGCACTAAAAAATGGTCAAGATGGTAAATTTTGTACAGTTTATAATTCAATATTGGGTCACCCCAATAGCCTCTCTTAAATGAGAAATAAGAATTAATAAGTTACCCGAAAATTTCAGACTCTTCTTACAAAGAGGCGTTGCTCAGAAGAGCTGAGGTCTGAAAATGAAGTACAAGTGATTTTCAGGCAGAATCAGGCTGGTTAACACTTAAGGGCATCGGTGTCTAACCCGATCCTCTCTACACCGCTGATTCCTAAACCACAGGCCCTGCGAGGTGACGCATGAATTGGCGGCAGCTTAATAATCAGCCCCAGCACCCCAAAGCCCACAAAGGGGCCTGTTTCTGAATGACCACAGGGCTTTTCACACCCACTTTTGGAGGGTTCCTTGTTCCCATCACTTCTACTAGTCCAAACTTGCCCACCTGTCGAAAGTCATTCTCTCATGCCATCTTTCATAAAACATTTCTGATCCACCATTCAGAAATGACATTTTTATTCTCTAAAACCACCCCCCAAACCACGCAGCTCTCCAGTGGCAATGAGATCATTCTCCAGAGTTAGCTGCTGCATATATGTTAATCTTTCTCAGTATTCTACAAACAGCTGGAGGATGGCAAGGCCTGCACCTCCACGGAGACTAATGGTCCCAGCTTTAAAACCCAGATAGAATCCTGGGCTGCTGCAGAACAGAGACAAGCAGACTTTACATAAGGCAGTCAATGGGTTTTTGCTAAAGAATTAAAGACTTCAGTTTGGGTTTGAAATTTTATATTGGCATGTTACACATACCATCACTCAGCACTGTTTAAACGTAGAGAGACCACAGGAAATCAAACACACTTGTACTATATACACACATCTGAAAGAGGCATAAAAATTATTAACCGCTTAGAAATTGACAAATGGTGTGAAACAGTCAAATAAATATACACCCCAAAGAAAAATAAGCACCATTAGTCCAATTCCACTGTGGCAAAGATTCCCATCTCTTCCAAGGCAGCTTTCACTTCAAAGCATAAATATTTTCAGGTGCATTCAGTTGGGGTGTGTACAAGCACACTCTTGTGTGACAGCCAAAAGAGATTCTGCTGGGTCATAAGCAGATGTCACCCCCGCCCAGACATGCAGTCACTGTCGACATTAGAAATGTTAAAGTTCTCTTTGAATATGTTGTTTTGCTGGTCAGTATGTATGTTGGAATTCAATTTTTCATTTCTTTCAGCCTCATGCATCACCCTAGGTAAAATGTGGTTCCGTATTTGAGCAAAAGAGTATCATCTACACATATGGAAAACCAGGTAAAGTTTCAAGTAGCCTACTAGGCTGATACCAGAGTAAGGCCCTGCCCCCCAGCTTTGGGGCCTAGATGTGAAAGCTTCGAAATGCTCAGGCCCAGTGTACTTCCTCAGCAAGTCACGTGTGTGCATAAATTCAGGATATCCAATTACAATGGTCCTTAAAACTGACACCTTAAGTTTCAACAAAGCTAGGCCCTATTTATATTCTGAAATTAAAAGGTGTCTTTCTCCTAGACTACATAAAGTTTAGGCAACAATGGTTGCCCTCATTCAAGACATTGCACCTCCTAAGAGTTACAAGCAAAACATAACAGGTATATGTGAATCTGGGCAATGGGGACAAGTGAGAACAGGCGCAGTTTTCCAGCAGACGCCAACACAGTTTCTCCAGGCCCTAAAAAGGGTTAAGAATAAAACTCAAAGAAAAAAATAAACACAACAATAAAACAAAAACCGCCACATACACATCGAAATGTCATTATTAGTTATCTAGAATTATATAGTTAATTTAAATTTCTTCTGTTTTATTTTAAAACATTTCTACAATGAACAAGTATCAAATTTTTAAATGCCATAATTCACATACCATAATATTCACCATTTTAAAGTCTATAATCTAGTGGTTTTGGGTATATTCACAAGATTGTGCAACAATCTCCACTATGTAATTCTGGAATATGTCACATCCTCAAAAGAAACCTTGTTCCTCATTAGCAGACCCCCATTCCCACCTCCGCCAGACCCTGCAACCACTAATTTACTTTCTATCTCTATAGAGTTATCTATTTCGGACATTTTATATAAATGAAATGACATACTATGTGGCCTTTTAAACAAACATCGATTTTATGAACAGATTTTTAAAATATGTTGGTAGTAGCAAATAATAATAATAATTATAATAATAATAAAATGAAGTCGAGCTAGAAGCAGGCTGTACAAGGAGATGAGCAAAGGAGGCCACACAGTGCTACATCAGCATGTCCCATCACTGCCCACATGTTGTGGGGAGAGTCTGGCTCCCCAGGTCAAACAGCAGGTGGGAGACATGTGAGAGACTTAGAGATGACTAAAGTTTGGAGGAGAGAGAACTCTGAAAAACTAGAGCTCTGAAAAACCAGGTTTACTGATCCAGGGACTAGACTGTTCAGAAGCTGAAAGGCTCGCTTGGTGAAGAGATCAGCATGTGTCCACATCTCTGCTTCAGGAAAAGCACGGCTTGCAACATGGAGCATTAGGAAAGGATTTCATCAGTTTATCAGCCCCCATGAGGGACGCAACATTGAGAACTTGTGTCATCTGCTTTCTCCCAGTCTAACACGTTCTTCTGCATGTCACTGAGGCTAGCCAAATGACCTCTCTCTACCTTCTTCATCCCATGACCTACTTGGGCAATCACTGCCAACCTAGTTTTGTCTCTGACTGGTCCGAGGCAGTGTGAGCTCAGGAGCACCTCTCGCATGGCTGCCTGAGTGCTTTCTACACAAAGGCCCACTTAGGTCTACCTGATGCTGGTACCAAACCCCAGCTGGCCGACAGGATATAAGGGAAGACCTAAAGAGAGAAAACATCCTGAGAGAAAACTTGTCTACCCTAACTCCTCAAGACTTGTTATTTTCTTCTAAAAATGAAGATACTACTCAGAGCAAATAACATGTCCTTTGTTTTGGGAAATCCTAAAAGGCAGGCTACTAATGCCGTAGGTGTCCATCGAGAGTGTCCAATTTATGATGCTCTAACTTTTCTCCACTAGACGTGGGTGATTTTTATTGTAAAAATACACACAGGGAGACAATGTAAAGCTACTAGAAAAACTCAAACATTTGAAAGTGTCGATCAGGTAGTGATTTATTAGCTTCTTATTTGTTTTTTGTTGTTTAAAGAAAAGAGAACATTTAATATGAAATAAACATTTAAGTGTGGCTGGTTGTACTGCAATGATACAGTAAATGTATTGTTTGATCCATGTCAAAATTACTTTTGAATGCCTAGTAGCAGGACTAGCTACAATGTGGTAACTTGGATGGGATCCTGGAACAGAAAAAAAGGATATTAGGTAAAATCTAAGGAAATATAAACAGTATGCATTTTAGTTAAAAATAAGGTATCAATATTGGGATGTTTGCTGTTGACACATGTACCACTCTAATGTAAGGTTTGACACTAGGGGAAATGGGGTGTGAGGTATATGAGAGCTTTCTGTATATCTTCGCAACTTTACTATAAATCTAAAACTAATCTAAAGTCAAAAATTTATAGCAAAACAATTATACAGTTGATCACATCGTTCAAGCCCTTAACCAAAGCTCACAGGCAGAGAAGAGCTGTAGGAAGAGTCTACTCCAAATGCCCTTCATTCTTCAAGGTGCAATTACAGGAAGACAACACGCAAGCCAGGCAGAGTACTAACCACATGAACAGAATGTGACACAGGGTATTCAATAGCAT